CTTTATGTTTTTTTTTCTCCTATTAAAATCCACATTTTAAATTGTCAAGTAAAATCCGACCAAAAAAATTGTCAAGTAAAAATTTATTAGCATTAGAAGAATTTCTTGCCTTTTATGATGTATCGTTGATTTATATTTTCCAAATCCATAAATCGGTAAACCTATCAATACATGTAAAGAGAATGCATCTATAATCATCCGTCAAATGTAAGAAGTTTTCTTAGAATGCCATGTAGGATTTACGTATAATATACAAATTATATGTGATTGCTACTTTTAAGGGGTTGTTTGATGACATTAGTAGAAGAATAGGACTTAAATGGATTAGTTCATTTCAATTGCGATGGTAATTCTTTATTCAGATTCTCTAAATATTTTATGTATTAAAGAAATTATATAGATTTTCAATGGTTTTCTTTTTCAGTTTGATTTAGTTTTTTTAAAATATGATCACTTTGATTGCTATCTTTTTTCTTTAAAACGGGCTAAAAATCAATTGAGAATGATTTGATAGGTCAAACAATCGAGACTTCATCCTTCTATTAGAGTGTAGGGGAATTCAATTGCGATCCTCGCTTGGTACGGTCTGCGACGATATGTCACGAGGAAACCATTGAAGCTTGAGCAACGAGCTTTGTCTGAAAAGATGTGTTCGAGATCCCATTTGCATATTGTGCTAGGATTATGGTACCCATTAAGAAATTCGTTTTTTCTTTTAAAAATTGATTTTTTTCTTATCTTTTACTAAAAAAAAGACCCTCGTTTCGGGATCGCCGACGCTAAGGTAGCGCATGATAACCATTCTGGTTCTGTCCAGAACTGGTTTTCTGTTCCCAGAAATAGCTTTGGACCAGAAACCCGTTTGGTAATGCAATTCCATTTTTCTATTTCTGGAACAACTTTTTGTTCCAGAACCAATTCTGAACCAGAAATCAGAACAAAAAAAAAGTAGGTTTTCTATTTCTAGACAAAAAATGAGAATCATTTCTGAGAGAATTCTTTCTTCAAAACACATGTTCATCTGGAAGTCACGATCTTTGAGGTGGGAAAAAAAATCAAAAATCAAAAATTTCAAAACTTCACAGAATGGTTTAGAATCTGTGGCTACCTACTTTGAGCGAAATTTAAATTTTTTTAGGTGCCGAAAAAATAAAAAAAATCAAAAAATCAAAAATTTCAAAATTTCACAAAATGGCTTAGAATACCTATGGCCACCCCACTTTGAGCGAAATTTAATTTTTTTTAGATACCAAAAAAAATAAAAAATAAAAAAAATCTAAAATTTAAAAACTTCACATAATGTCTTAGAATACATGTGGCCACCCAATTTGAGCGAAATTTAATTTTTTTAGGTGCCGAAAAAAATTGAAAAAAGCAAAAAATAAAAAATTTCAAAACTTCACAGAATGGCTTAGAATACTGTGGCCATCCAGCTTTGAGCGAAATTTAAATTTTTAGGTGCGAAAAAAATAAAAAAATAAAAAATTTCAAAACTTCACAAAATTCTTAGAATCACATGTAATACCACCCAGCTTTGAAATGAAATTTAATTTTTTTAGATGCCAAAAAAATAAAAATAAGCTTTAAAAAAGCAAAAATTTCAAAACTTCACAGAATGGCTTAAAATACCTGTGGCCACCCACTTTGAGCGAAATTTTATTTTTTTAGGTGCCTAAAAAAATAAAAATAAAAGCAAAAAATCAAAAATTTTAAAACTTCACGAGAATGGCTTAGAATACCTGTGGCCATCCACTTTGAGCGAAATTTAAATTTTTTTAGGTCGAAAAAATAAAAAATAAAAAATTTCAAAACTCTGGAATTGCTTAGAATCAGGTATTGCCCACTTTGAGTGAAATTTTATTTTTTTTAGGTGCCGGAAAAAAATAAAAATAAGCAAAAAAGAAAAAATTTCAGAACTTCACTGAATGGCTTAGAATACCTGTGGCCACCAACTTTGAATGGAATTTTATTTTTTTAAGGTGCCGAAAAAAGAAAAAAAAGCAAAAAATCAAAAATTTCATAACTTCACAGAATGGCTTAGAATACATGTGGCCATCCACTTTGACTGAAATTTAATTTTCTTTAGGTGCCAAAAAAAAATTAAAAAATCAAAAAAATCAAAAATACCATTTGGCCACCTAAAAAGAATTAAATTTCACTCAAAGTGGGTGGCTAGAGGCATTCTAAGTCATTCTGTGAAGTTTTAAAATTTTCGATTTTTTTATGTTTTTTTTTCTCCTATTAAAATCCACAATTTAAATTGTCAAGTAAAATCCGACCAAAAAAATTGTCAAGTAAAAATTTATTAGCATTAGAAGAATTTCTTGCCTTTTATGATGTATCGTTGCTTTATATTTTCCAAATCCATAAATCGGTAATTTATCAATACATGTAAAGAGAATGCATCTATAATCATCCGTCAAATGTAAGAAGTTTTCTTAGAATGCCATGTAGGATTTACGTATAATATACAAATTATATGTGATTGCTACTTTTAAGGGGTTGTTTGATGACATTAGTAGAAGAATAAGGACTTAAATGGATTAGTTCATTTCAATTGTGATGGTAATTCCTTATTCAGATTCTCTAAATATTTTATGGATTTTTTGAAATTTTTTAGATTTTTATGAATTTTTTGGATTTTCTAATTATTTTTATTCCATTTCTAAAAAAATGGATTTTTTTTTCTTTAAAACGGGTTAAAAATCAATTGAGAATGATTTGATAGGTCAAACAATCGAGACTTCATCCTTCTATTAGAGTGTAGGGGAATTCGATTGCGATCCTCGCTTGGTACGGTCTGCGACGATATGTCATGAGGAAACCATTGAAGCTTGAGCAACGAGCTTTGTCTGAAAAGATGTTTTCGAGATCCCTTTTGCATATTGTGCTAGGATTATGGTACCCATTAAGAAATTCGTTTTTTCTTTTAAAAATTGATTTTTTTCTTATCTTTTACTAAAAAAAAAACCCTCGTTTCGGGATCGCCGACGCTAATTAGTCCATTTCTCACTCTTTTTTCTCGTAGTACTTCTGCCCCATGCAACTAATAATCTTTTTTCTTGTATTGGATGTGTGTGCATCTATTCGATTTAATCATCTAATTTGATTTTATATTAATTTCACGTAACCGAATTCACTATATAGATCTGAGATCATTCGATAAAACTAAAAATAAATGGTGAGAATTTAAGCAAGTGTTAAAATTTTTAAGTGCAGATGATAATAAAATTGAATAGCTGTTTGAGAATAGCTAAAACTATTAAGTTATTATCATAAATGAAATTATAATCTTTAGGTATTTTTAGGGGAGATAATTGGCAAAATTTAATTTTAATCAATATTTTTCTACTCAATGAGAATTGAGTATTATCTTCCTTATTTATCTCGATAAGTGAATTTTTTTTTGTCTAATTCCAAAAAAAAAAACACCAACTTTAGGTCAAGTGACAATTCTGGCCCCAACTTTTTTATTTAGTAAAAATCACAAACTTTCACTTAAATGCCAAATTTGGGGGTTAATTCCAAAAAAAAGTACCAATTTTAGGTCGAGGGACAATTTTGGCCCGAACTTTTTTTTGTCCCGTAAAAAAACACCAACTTGAGGTCAAGTGACAATTTTGGCCCAAACTTTTTTTTTGTCGTAAAAAAAAAAATTTTTTATAAATCCCAAATCGGCCCCCATTGACTTAGAACCATTGATTATCTAACTTGACTATTCCACCTTAACAATAAATCCACGTGGCTTGCTAATTGGATTTAAAGCAATATTCATTATCTTATTCTCTAAGCCACAATTTGAAGAATAACGGTGAAACTGTTCGTCTCCTTCACTTCACCGACAAGTCAAAAATATCTCTAGATTGAATCTCTCTGACCAAACGTAATATGAAATTGACCACCGCTTGTCGACAGACGCCATGTACGAGATTCGCCAAGCTCACCACCATAACCTTCTTTCTCAAACAATGGTGAAAGTTAACCGAGGGGGGCCAAATTTGGGATCATGATGAAAGTTAGTAATTTTTTAAGAGACAAAAAAAAAATTGGGGCCAGAATTGTCACTCAACCTAAAGTTGGTGCTTTTTTACGGGACAAAAAAAAGTTCGGGCCAGAATTATCCCTCGACCTAAAATTAGTGCTTTTTTATGGGACAAAAAAAAGTTCGGGCCAGAATTGTCCCTCAACCTAAAATTGGTGCTTTTTTTTGGAATTAGGCCCCAAATTTGGTCCCCCTTACTTTAAAACCATTAATTGTCCATGTTATTTCACCTGAGCAATAAATCCATGTGGCTTGCTGATTGGATTTAAAACACTACTTCTTCTTTGAGCCATAATTTGAAGAATAACGGTGAAACTGTTTATCGTCTCATTTACTTCACCAGCAAGTCAAAAGATCTCTAGATTAAATCGTTTGGGCCAGACTCCACCGTTTTGTCGTAATCTGAAGCTGTAGACTATTGCCATGGATGAGATTTGCTAAGCTCACGACCAAAACCTTTTTTCTCAAATAATGGTGACTTCAGACAAAGAGTCGGCAATTGGTCAAATTTTGGATAATGGTGAAAGTTGATGATTTTTCATGAAACAAAAAAAAGTTGGGGAAAGTTGACACTCGACCTAAAGTTTGTGTTTTTTTTTTTTAATTAGCCATATTTTTTTTTATATAATCGAATCTATTTAATGAATGCTTGTTATAGTTGCCAGCCAAGCATAATCTCATTAATTGGGTTACAAACGGACAGTTAAGTTTATCTTGTCAAGATTAATTGAATTTTTTTAATATAAAAATAATAATTAGGCCTAACCTTTCGGGTCCCGGGTCGGGCCACAAAAGAAACGAACGGGTTAATCCAAGTTTAATTATAAAATTACAAATAGGAAAAATCGAAGGGCAAAATTTCAAATTTCCCTCAAACCGACCAAAACCCGCGCGTATTCACATCCCCCCGCCTTCGCCTCCTTGAACCACCGCTTCCCGCCATCGCCCGACACCGCCGCCGACGGGGGCGCCCGCGCCCGCCCCGCTCTCCTTCTCGCCGCCGCGTCTCGACCTCCGATCGCCGTCCGGCGCGACCCCGTCCGATTCTAGGGTTTTGGCCGGCGGATTGCGGCTCGACTACCGCCGGCTGGCGCAACCTCGCCGCGGATTTCTTAGGGGTTTCCTCCGCTGGGTCTCGCCCTCCGATCGCCACCCGACGCGACCCCGTCCGATTCTAGGGTTTTGGCGGGCGGATTGCGGCTCGACTCCCGCTGGCTGGCGCAATTTCGTCCCGGATTTCTTAGGGGTTTTCCTCGTTTTTCGCTTCCAGTCGAGAGAGGAGAAGAAGGAGATGGGAGAAAGAAAGCTGGTGAACAAGTATTACCCATCGGATTTCGACCATTCGAAACTGTCTAGGCCTCGGAGGTCCAAGAATGGGCAGATTAAGGTCCGGATGATGCTTCCCTTGAGCATCCGATGCAATGCCTGCGGGAATTACATTTACAAGGGCACCAAGTTCAATTCCAGGAAGGAGGACGTCGTCGGCGAGGTCCGGTGCCCCTTCAATTCTGTTTCCCATTCGAAGCTCTTGACTTTGTTCTAATTCTTGGTGTTGTTTTGACTTCGCAGACGTATTTGGGGATCCGGGTATTCAGGTTTTACTTAAAATGCCCCAATTGCTCTGCCGAGCATACCATCAAGACGGATCCACGGAATTCTGATTATATCGTTGAGTCAGGAGCGACGAGAAATTTTGAGCCCTGGCGTGCAAATGATGAGGTAGAAGATACTGTCTTTTGAATTTTTGGGTTTTTTTCTTTTATAATTTGTTGGACTTTGGGAAGCATGTGACTTGAGCTTTTTCATTTGGGTTTGGGCAGGTGGTGGAGGGTGAGAAAAGGAAGAGGTGGGAGATGGCTGACGGCATGAAATCGTTGGAAAATAGAACTTTAGATGCCAAGAGAGAGATGGATATTGAGGCGGCCCTTCATGAAATGAAATCTATGAATGTAAGATTTTTGAACTTTCTGATTGTTTGAATATGTATTTATGCAAATATTATTATATGCTAATTGAATCGTCAAAGTTCGCAAATAATTGCTTAGAAAATTTTTATTGTTGTGGTACTAACGAGCCAGAATTGTTTTTTCAGTCTAGACATGCAACTGTGAGCACAGATGCAATGCTACAGGTTTTACAACGTAAATCTGCTGCGAAGGTATGAGTTGTTTCCGCTTTAAATAAGCATTCTTTTTGCTGTAAGCGTCAAAGCTCCTTTTATGTGCTTGCATTGAAGATATAGGGCCACTGTCGCTACTTAGAATGTCACTATTCAGAATTTGCTTCCACTTCTGGAGTTAAGTTTGGTTGGTTGATTGTCAGATTATCCCTGACTTTGTTGGTATAACAGGAAGGGAAATTGGAGGAAGAGGATGAAGCGCTTACGAAATCAATATTATTTCATGTTAGTATTCAACCACCCTTCTGTATTTGATTTCACGTCTATTTTTCTTCTCTCTACATTTCATTGAACTTGCTTCCTTGAAATTTTCTTGCAGACATCCATAAATTTTCTCCGAAGGCTCGAACATGAAGATCTGACTCAACCTTATGCTAGTGATGACGAATCATTGCACAGTACTCTCAAGGTTAGTAATGATCTAATTGTCAGCATATTGCTTCCCTATCGGCTATCTTTAAGCGTGTGAATTTGTTGAGAACAGTCTTGAACGTGTTATGCGTAAGTTCTGGTTGAACTGATCATTTGCTCAATAAGGTGCTCATGTAACAGTTTATAAAATTTATATGGTACTTTAATCTATGTATAATCCACTGGTATATCTAAAAGTTTGAGCTTGTTTGAAGATACTCTATTGCAAATTCTTCGTTTTTGTGATCATTGATCCCTGTTTCAGTATGGAATAAGTTTGCAATTGTCTTGCTTTACTTGCATTAGATGTATATGCATTAGCAATGTGATCTGTATAGCATGCTTTTCTTTGCTTAATCAATGTCATCTTACGTGCTTAATATGTGTCACGTGAACCGTTAGACATTTGCTTGTTGAAGAATCAGCAACTTCGAAGAATAAGGAGTTATGAAAATTGCTTGAGAACTTTTGGGACCTAATCACGGATACACCTAAAGATGTTGATGAAGTTGTTAGATCATAGCCCGTGAATCACCACATCATAAAGCAAAAGAAGAGTCTGTTGATTGTCAGTAAGTGCATGTATTTCCGACTCTTGATGGAAATATCTATCAAACTTCTCAGAAAGAGCATGATTTATTGGTTTGTTGATTGTGTATACACTGTAGATAAAACTGATAATACCTTGATTCGAGGAAAGGTGGAGGTGCTTTGTAGTTTAGATCATCTTCCTTGTGGTTTCTCAATTCTTCTTAAAAGCACTACTGTTGTTCTTTAAATCTCACCTCTACCTAAGAATACATATTACCAAGTTGGTTTCTTTTTCTTGGTACAATTAGGGTATTCTTTCAGGTGTTTTGGATTTGAGGCGAGCATAAGTTGTTGATTTAATATGAAATTGTCTTTTGTTGTTGAGGCCTATAGAAAAGCTTACTTATATGTTTGATTTGAAATGCAGAAGAGAAAATTTTCTGAAGAATCTCCTAACAAGCCAACAGATTCCTTGACAGAAGCTACTTCTAGTGACATGTCAAATAACAGAGGTATGTCGCATTTTTCGAACATGTTCCTTTCAATTACGTGAGCTTTTTTGAATAATGGGTGTGTTTTAATATATAGGCTCGGCACTTGCCTTTTCCTGCAAGTGCTTTAGATTGTATTAAAATGCAGACTCCCTTCGTGGAAGTGGACTTGACTTTTAGAAAGTAACTTTTTCCGTGTGATGGTGGTTGTTTCTGCGAGTTTTCTGGTTACATTTCTGTGTCTTTCCATCATGTTTGTGGTCTTTCGATTTTCCTTTAGAAATAAGTATTGCTGGTTCTTCCATGAGCATCTATATTGTATAGAGATAAATATTGTTGGGTTGTGACAAACTCATGTCCTTGTTCCTTGTTCATTGACTCATATGTCTGTTATGTTTAACAGGAAATTATGTGGGTTCACGGGACCAGAGTGCTTCCTTTGTGCGAATTGCTGTGGTAAAGAGAGTTGCTCCAACCACCAGCACTGGACTCGAGTTGGTTAGTCAAAATTATGAAAGTAGTGATGATGGCGATTGAACATTGGATACCATTCGTTATCTTGTTGTATTAGCAGTTTTTTGATTCTATCTTCCCTGTAAATTCTGACTGAAGGTAAAAGAAATGTGAAGTAGTACTTTCTGATGGGAACTTTGCTCTCATCTCGTAAAACAACGTTTTTGTTTTGAAATTTTCGTCTTGGTGCATACTTCTCTCACAATTCAGCAATCTATGCTGGGCTTTTGTTCTTAACACTGGCACCATGCAATGTACAAATTGACGATATTCTTAGTATCACGGATCCATCCTTTCTTGTCTTGTGCTAGTATCAACTATGGGCGTGCTGGATCTGCATCCAATAACTCCTCCAAGTTCCTTTTTGACTACTGACTATTTCTGGGCTTGTGATGGTGCTGTTATAATATGCTTCACCTCCAATAGTCTTTACTTCCTCTTATTGCCAATAACAAGTATTTTTATTTTTTATTTTTTTTTGTAGTCTTCAGTGGGTTGATTTTGTGAGAAAGATAGTTCTGTTACTCTTCAGTGAAGTGATATATCCTATATAGAGACGTGTGACGGTGCAAGAACACATACACCCACAGAGATATAAAAAGGGTACTTTATAGGTTTATTACCTTCTTCAAAGTCTCAGTCATACAAACTGCTAGCAAATGGTTCTTTTTTGCTTTAATTACCTGCTCAAAACATTTCAATCATACCAGATTTGCCATAGAGTGAACAATATCAGATCTGTAAATATAGACGACTTTCTTTTGGGCTAATCACATGTTGCTTAAGATACTTTACTGGCCTTACTTCTGAAAAAGACAACCCGGAAAAGCTTCTTTGTCCATTTTTGGCAATATTTTACGGTTTCTCAAATTGAGGATTGCATTATGTGATATTGGTTTCTAGGTTCAAAGGTTATCTTGCATTCCAGTACTCAACAAATTTCTTTGGATGTAGATTCTGTTTATACATTTTCTTTCCTCTCTGTGATTTTCATAGGCGGGGTCAATATGTCAACTATATGCCACATTGATACCCAAGTTTGGAGAAATGTGGCATTGGAAGTTCGTAGTCATGGATGTCAATTTCCAAGTTTTCATTTCCAGATGTTTAGTTCTACTGGGCTTGTTGGCTTCAGGGACTACTGGGAAGCGAAAAGGAGTTGCCATAAGCCATTCAGCTTTGTTCATACAATCTATGGCAAAAATAGCCATATGTGGTTACAGTTGGAATGATGTATGCCCTTTCCAAGTTTCTTCTTGTCTATTGTCTTCATGCTTCATTGGCAATAGGAAATTCTACAATCATTATCACAGTAAGTCTTGAGTGATTGTTTCCATATTTGGAACGTCCGCAGGCAGTTTGAGTCAGAGTAATATGATAATGGAATTTTTTTATTCGATTTTTGCAGGTTTATTTGCACACAGCTCCTTTGTGCCATATTGGTGGTCTGTCATCAGCCATGGCGATGTTATTGGCTGAAGCTTGACATGTCTTTATACCCAAGTTCGAAGCTAAATCATCCATTGAGGTTATAGAGAAATACGACGTCACCGCTTTGATCACTGTTCCAGCCCTGGTCACTGATCTAATATCCTTTCTCAGGTTATTTACGAAGTATATCTTTCACATGCAATCTAAATACTGAATATTTTGTGTTGAGAGCATCGGCCACTCACATGGTGTAAGTTCACAGTCATGTTTTGCAAGTGGTACTTTTGCTTAATTCCGAGTTTCTTGGGGAGAAAGGACCGTGGAAAGGAAAACACTGCATAGAAAAGATATTAAATGGTGGAGGAAGTCTGCCAATTGATCGCATCAAAGAAGCTGGCAACTTCTTCCTAAGAGCTAAGACTCTTTCGGCCTGTGGTGTGCTTCCTCTATAAGCGTACATGCAGTTAATTTCAGTACTTAAATGCTAGTTGGAGTAGTACCTGCTAGCGATGTCTGTTGAACTACCGTGCTCATTATACTACTGTTTCTTTTTCCTTTTGGGATGACAGAGACTCGTTCTTTGTTAACGTTCATGGCTCTCCATGACCCAAATTTCCCTTTTTCTTACCAGCCCCCTCATTTTCATGTTGGAACAGATCTCAATTCAGTTCAAAGACCACGAGGCATCTCTGTCGGCAAACCTGCACCACATGCTGAATTGAGGACAGATAGTGATGGATCTTTTGGCATTGGGAAAATTCTAACCAGAGGTCCGCATTTGATGATTGGATACTGGGATCAAGTTCCGGCACTAAAATCTAGTAGTCCTTCACGGTTTGACATGGGTGATGTCGGTTTCATCGATGAGCATGGTTGGGCGTGGTTCACTGGTTGAGAAAACGGTCAGAGCAAGACTGGGGGAGAAAATGTTTACCCTGAAAAGGTACAGAATGAATTGTGTATGAATTGGCTTGGCAATGAAATTATGTTCTTGCGAGCAAAAAAAAAGATTTGTCGACAGGTTTGAATGTGATACGTAATTTCTATGTCTGCAGTCACGAACCAGTGTTATCTTCTCCAAATCATGGTTAGCTAATATGGAAAGATGTATACTCTCAGCTCATTTTCTGGGGACATGTTCTTGTTTCAGAACGCAGGCGATGGCATTGCTTTACCAACATCCAGGAGTCGCTGGAGGAGTCGTCGTTGGGGGAATCCCTGAAGCTCGCCTGACTGAGATGGTTTGTTGCCTTTATTCATGTGATACAGTATAAAATTTAGTGTGTAATCTGTGAGGGCGATCATCATCGAGATGAAATTTCTCACGTGTACTCTGTCAATTTATCAGTATCAATTTGTTTTAAATTCCTACCACTTACACTTTTATTTCTAAATATATCGTGTTACGCAGTTCAAATCATGTCCGAATCAATATTGAACTTTAGGTGAAAAGTTTTTCGCTATGCCCATTTCTAGTGAAACAATTTCAAGGAAAAATGGGTTGAAGAATTAAATCCGTAACGCGGGCGCACATGATTACAAATTTAGCGCGTGGAATTAGAATACATTAGTGTATGTACAAATTAACATTGCAGTGGCCAAAAAAAAAAGAAAAAGAGACAGGAATATTTACCGTTTTGTTTTATGTGTTTGTATTTTATCTCTCCTCTACTTTTTAGGAAACTGTGCACCCTCGTATAATGATTTTTATTAGGGTTAATACCATCAAAAAATCTAAAACTGGTACACTTGTGATATATTTATCATGATTAATTTTTTTATCACAAAAAATTTCAAACTAGTATATTTGTGACAAATTTACCCCAAACTAATTTTTTAACCACCAAAAACCCTAAATTGATACACTTGTAACAAATTTATCATTCGTTAAATTAGATTAATATAAAAAAAATCACAAAATTGTATACTCGTGACAAACGAAGGGTAAAACCCCAAACCGGTACATCTGTCAACTGCCATGTGTCATTTAACTTAATAATTTGACAATAAAATTTAATAGAAACTAACATAGGGTAAATTTGTCACAAGTGTACTAGTTTTGGGTTTTTGGTGGTTAAAACAATTAGTTTGGGATAAATTTATTATAGGTGTACCGATTTGGGATTTTTCGTGGTATTAACCCTTCTAACTAATGATTGAATTACCGCTCAACATCACTTCGATCTTGCCATGGAATAAAAAAAAAAGAAGAAGCTAAAATCACAAATACAAAAAAAGAAAATCCAAAACTAAAATGTTTATAAACCCTTTGGATCGCATGTTGAGTGCACGAAAAATTCAAATATTTAATCAGAGATCTAATATCCCCCGAATGAATGTTTATTTCAAAACTCTTTTTTAACTCTGATTTGTAATCCAAAAATAAAGATGGGAAAATGACTTACGAAAATTGATTTCCTTAGTAATATCAATAAACTTTTATTTAGTGCTTAAGAAAAGTTCACTCACGATTCTCAAGTCAGAATACTCGGTTATGGTCTCATCCAGGGGTGATCGTCTGGTCCGGTCCTGTTTCAAGGTGGAACCAGGAGTCGAGGACTGGACCGATTAGAATTGGTCACTTTTTTTTTCCACTACTTGATGCCATCTCTTCGTGGTTCCCACTACGTTTTTAGAAAAAGATTTGAGTAAAAGGACCCTAGTTATGTGCTCATATATTTTCTATTATAAACAAAGATTAAAAGGCAAATGTATAAATTGCAAATCAAAAACAATAAACTAAACCCACAAATTATCGAGAGATAATGATTATTTCGCAACCATGAATGATCAAATATTAGTAATGATCCTCAAATTGAAAAGACAAACCAAAAAATGTACTTCACTTAGAGTTTAGTTCACATTTTACTAATTTTTGAAGAAATAAAAAATAAAAAAAGTATATGTAGTCGGTCTAGTTAGGTTTGGTTTTCTCTAGAACCGGGAACCGGACCGCCCGAACACTGGTTTCACTTTTAGGAACTTGGAACCAGACCGACACTCCCGGGACCGGACCAAACTAGCTGGTTCGATCAGGCTCGGGCAGTTCCCGGTTTGGACGGTCCATTTTGCACACTTCTAGTCTCATCACGCCATTTTTGTACTACTTTTCTAAGTTAGATATTGTATCTATATATATCATGAATAATTAAATATTCATTTACAAGTGTGTGGACCAAATTCTATACCCCTAGGTTTTAGAAATATCATTGCAGTGTGTATGGTTCATTGACTCAAAACACTACTGCATTCTTGGAATTTCCGATGAATCGAGAATGGTGGACTGTTGTTTAAGTGGCAGTGCATCTGTTCAACTGCGTCAATTCCATTTTACCATACACGATCAACTGATGCGATTCTAAACTTACTTTGCAAAAGAAAATTGGGAAATGTCCAAATGAATTTTGCATTGGAAACTTGTTCGATCCGATATAATCGGTAGTTTCTATACTTTAATATTTATGATTTAGTTATCAACTTGTATCGATCCTAGCATGCTTTAGATGCTCCGGACTAGATATAGGATTGAAGAAAAGTATTTATTTCAGGATAGATGTACATTACTATTTATTAATGCTTACATAATTGATCGAATGTGTTAATTTGCTTGACGATGGAAAGTGTGAATCACCCCTTTTAACATATCTTAAAGCTTGTCATATATTCCACGCCCTTTTTAGCTAAAACATACCATTTTT